CGTCCTTTGGGCTTAATTGAAGTCCGATTTCGTGCTATTTCGTGAACTTTGTGTATTTGAAGTGTGTATATGACGAAAAAGGTCGTGACGATGTTTTCTTAAGGCTTGAAGTCCTATCAGGAACTTTTCCCTTGAGTCTTCGCAAAATAACCCATAACCACTCGTTTATAAGACGATGGTCTTGTGCCAAAGATGCTAGACATCAAAGGAAAATAGGAATTGACTAGAATTTTCTAAAAGGGTGAGTCTCAATTCTAGTTTTCTAAGACGGTCAATAGGAACTCCTGGAACTGGATCCTAGGCTCTAAGGAGGAGAAAAGAAGACCTCACAAAAATGAGGTCAACAAACGTATCTCATCAAGGATAATTTGATAAAAAAGGAGAAGATTGGGACATCTCCATCCACTGCAATGATTTTTCACACCAATATTTTAAATAATTTGTCAGACTCTGCTGTTGATGTCAGCATAGAAGCCACGGGTATGCCCCTTCCACAAAAAGGTTTCAATAAATTTCTCAAGGTAAATTCTTACTTGCCTTCAGAAAATAAAATAACTGTTCTTTAGAAAGGCACATCACACCATGTTCAAGGCAAAAGATCAAAGACCATTTTCTTCTCACTTACATAGACTGCGCGGAAGTGAGCAAGTGAGAGAGAAAGATTGTCACAAAATCATTATAAATGAGAAAATCAAGCATTCAGAAGTATCCAGCATATTCCTTAATTTCATGGACAGATGGCAAATAAAGTATGCAAGACCCAAAAAAAAAACGAAATATTTATTCAGGAATAAATTTTCTTCCTTCAGCATATTGATCTAGATAATAATTCTTTTGTTTTTTTTCTTGTTTTTTTGATTAAATTCATATGAGCAATATATGGGCCAGAAATCAAATCTATACGTAAAATATTTGTCAAAACAAGTATCAGGCAGGTCCACATAACCGTGGCATAGTAGCACCCTGTTGTAAGTACAAAAAATAGGAACGGGATATATAGACAATTATCAACCGTGATTATTCCGTTATTCCAAGGTCAATATAGTTTGGTATATTTTAAACTTTAAAACAAAAAATAATCAGTTAAGAGTTAGTTGCATAAAGATAGAATTTTCATACTTGTTCCAAACGGTTTTAAAACATTGAATGCGAGAAAACATAACCTTAGAAATGTCAAATCATGAATATTCTTTGATGAAAAAATTTCTATTTATTTGAACTTTGTAGAACCACTAGAGATCAGCAGGCTGGAGATTCAATCAATTAGTTACAGCAACAAATAGAACTGAAATAACTCTTCAAAATATGAATAAAGAAAGATTTGTAATGTTTATGATGTAAATGAAGTATGAATTGCTAGCCAAAGCATAATCATTTGATACCAAATGAGAAATAGGAAATTACAGTCTAAAACTAAAAAAATGAAACTCATACCTCCAAATGCACAAGGATGTGACCATATTGAAGCCCAAGGATGCAAGTCACCGCAGCCATCAAGGATCTATTAGAAAAGAATTAAATGAAAGCAAATAAACAATATGAACTCTATAACAATTATATTGAAAAATGCACAACAAATAAACAAACTGATACGGGAGTTAACCAAAATCACAATAGAAAAATGAATATTGTGACTGAAAACAAATATGTGGATAACGAACACACTCAAAGGAAAAATACAACACGACCTCCAAAAATCTGAAAAAGAAACAGACACGACACAAATACTCAAACTAAGGTGGATCTCGAGATTATGGTGGTGATCAACGAGGGTTCGGAAAGTATTGGGATGATGGACGAGGTGGTTGGCATGCTAAAAACAACAAGGCAATGGCTTCACAAGTTCTCGACAGCAAGTACGTGACAAATATTGATGTAGCGAGGTTGCTGAGATAATGGCAGCGAAAAGGGAGGGTTGGACTAGCAGCAATAGCAAAGATGGAGGATGGGAACATTGATGGGGTGTCACAACCTGATCCGGGGCTTGAAACTAATCAAGACAGGAACAGACGGTCATACAATAGAAATCAATTATCTGCTATTTTAATTCTATCACTGACAATTCAAAATTTAAAATTTATATAAAAAGCCACTAAAGAAAACAATAAAAATTTACATGTAAAAAATTGTACATTTCTTGTTGATGTTCTCGTTTCCTATATACATTTGCTCATCTTCTATTCATCTTGTTCAAATATTTAAAACCTAAAAATAAAATTAAAACAACATGATGAGTTATCAAATGATAACCCAAGTGTAATCACACTACTAAACTACAGTAATCTAAGGAAAATAATATAATATTTATGTGAGTTTACAAGTTATCATATAGTATATTGATTTTTCATATTTTATAAGAAATCTGATAAATATACTAATATGTCGGTCTTTCATATTTCATAAGCAATTTGATATATGTTTAGAAGCAATCTGATATATGATCATACATGCATCAATGGACTACTCCAAATGAAAAAAACACTAATCTTCTATATATATTTATCCTAACTTTACTTTTACTTCATACTTTACACACACATTCGTCTCTATGAAAATCATCGTCAACAAACCTAACATATCATTTATTGATATTACCCCGTCAGCTCTCGTCGGCACAGTGGTTAGCGATCTACACATCGCAATTGTCTAAGGTGAGAAAGCCCTTACATGCCCTTGGTCGATATTATCATGTCGGTACAACAGTCAGTAATGTAAACATTACAATTGTCAGGGGAGGACAGCTCCGGTCCACTCACCACTGACTGATAATATCTCATCGACACAGCGGTTAGAAAAATAACTATCAGAAATGTTCGAGGTGGTATAAAAACTTTACGCGCGCGGGTACACTGGCATCCCCTGCCTGTAACATTAAGGGTGAAATCCTCCACTGAACATGCACATGCAAGCATTCACATATAAGTTATTTCATTCTTTATACATATATCATTCTAAGACATCTTTATGCATCTACTAACATGAAAATTTATTATGTTGAATAACTATTCATGAGACATATGTCTCATATCTTTCATTTTATCTAATGCATATCTTTCCTACATGTATATATTACATATCTATCTAAATATCATTCATCTCATGCATATCTTTCATGTATGCGCATCTTTTCCTATTATGTCTATCATGAATATTTGTCGTATCAATATGAAGGATCTGATTTAACTAAGGCATACATGAAGCCAAACATATAATCTAAAATAAAGAAGATTACTGAAATTTACAAATGAAATTATTCGCATTAGTTTTCATGCTAAACTTTTAATCTTCGACAGTTAGCTAGAGGTTGCACTGACTTTTCTATTAAGCTCAACAACATATAAAACACAATATTTATATTTTTAATATTTAAACAATTTCTATTAATCAAATTAATTTTCTTAGCTTAAGAATAATTTACCTGAATTTTAATGGAGTCGACCTAAGACGATCTTCTGCACGCTTGACTTGAAGTCGTCATCTCACGCAACAAACCTAAAATCTTAAATGAATTAGGAATTCAAAATATATTAGATCATTGATTTGTCAAAACATACCTTAAACGACTTTTTCTGCGACCAATCCTTCTCCAAAGCTGCCAAATTTACTTTTTATCACCTCCAACCACACTTCTCCTACGTTGATATCGTGCTAGAACCCTTTTAGAAGCTTGCAAAAGACGGTCGACGCTCCCGACACACAATGGACGCCTTCGAAGACTATTGGAAACAAGAAAAACATGAAAAACGCAGTAAAACTCAAAATAAAAGTGAGGAAGAAAAGAAATGTCTCAAATAACGTGAAATAGGTATTCACACTTACAAAAAATCTCCGGAAGCCCTGGATCGCAAGTTGCAGCAACCCTAGTGCTGATAGACCCTTGCTATTCGCGACCCAACACACGTCCCTTGCACTATAACATGGGTTGCGGTGTGTGCGACAGACAAGGAATAGGGAAAATTTGAGGAAGAGAGGAGAAGGTAAATAGGGAGAAAGGGAGATTTCGAAGCATCAAATGTCTTTCAATCGAACGAAAGAAAAATAAAATGGCGCAAGTCAGTGGGCTACAGAGCCAAAGATTAGGGAAAGGATTAATTAAAGTAATTAAGATTTAATTAACAAAACATATAACTTTTGTATTTCATATCCCCCAATCCATTCATAATTAGCATATAGTGCTTTATATGAAATTGATCGTTTTTTTCGTGTAAAATTTTGTAAAATTTATTCAATTGAAATCCGGGGGGTGCAAAAATTGGGGTTCGCCAAAATTCTCAAAAATTGGTTATTACATGGAGGATGCAGTGGATAGTCGAACACCCAAAGGAATGCTAATCGGGGAGGGGCAGTCAAGCAAAGGGTTGGACAATGAGGAAACAACCGGAAAATAGAAAACTTGCTAATGTGGAGGAATTGTGGAAGGATAAATACTATCTGGAGACTGAAATACAGGTAAAGCACCACTTGGAACCCTAAGATACAACCCTTAAAAAGAAGAAGAGATGTCGATGACTATCACGCTATGAAACACATGAAAATTGACATTCAAAGTTTTGAATCCTAATACAACACATATATAGGAAAAGACTAAAAAAGAATGAAGGATAATAAGAAAGAAATCATTAACAAAAAAAAGAAATCAAGATTGATTTGGACCGTTTCCCCATGTCCCGCGATCGCGGGAGCTGCATAGCTCGCATCCTACGTACAGAGAGGAGTGCTCCAATGTTACAAAGTAACCATAACAATACAGGCAAAACTTTCAGTCTAATAATAAGGAAAGAAATTCAAGGAACTAGTATATATGAGCGGAGTCATTCATGCAGAAAATAACAAATGCAATTGTGAAGTAAGCTATTGGACTCATCATCATTAGCCCATCCCAAATTATGGTTGGCCTTATGAGCCCACCAATCATTTCTATTGAATATTGCATAATGAAATCCTATAAACGAGATGCAAGGGATTCTAGTTGTTGGGACCATAAAAATCCCCAAATTATCACGCAAAAATCATTCAAAAGTATGGAACCATCACTCAAATTTCCAACACTTACAAAAACTGTAGGCCAAACAAGTTATGAATAGTATAGCAACTCTCATAAAAGATTCAATAGATTTATAAAGGTAAAAACCTTGTTTATTGATTAATAACTTCGGCTTATATAGAGTCTTCACATTACAACAACAACAACAAAGCCTTAATCCCACTACGTGGGCTCGGCTACATGAATCCCTTTTCTCCATTGTGTCCTATTTAGTGTCATATTTTCATTTAGTTCTAATAAATTAAGATCATTTTTTATACAATAAGCCCAAGTCTTCCTAGGTCTACCTCTGTCTTTCTTAACGTAAGCCGAATCTAAAACATCTACTCACCTAATCGGATCATCAGATGGTCGACGCTTAATGTGACCAAACCATCTAAGGTGACTTTCTCTAATTTTGTCCACCACGGGAGTTACATCAACCCTATCAAGGATATAATCATTTTGCATTTTGTCTCTAAGTGTAAAGCCACTCATCCACCAAATCATTCTCATCTCTGCAACACTTAACTTAGTATTATGCTTCTCTTTTAAAGGCCAACATTCAGCGCCATAGAGCATTGCTTGTCTCACCACCGTCTTATAAAATTTTCCTTTCAGTCAAAGCGGTACTTTTCTATCACACAAAAGACCCGAAGCATTCCTCCACTTCAACCAACCAACTTGAATTCTACTATTAACATCTCCATCTATATCACCATCGCTTTGAACAACAGGCTCGAGATATTTAAATCGTTCACACCTTTTAATAATTTGATAACCTAAAGTTACACTTCTGTCACTAGAGCTACTACTACTAAAATTATATTCCATGTATTCAATTTTAGTTCTACTCAAATGAAGGCCTATAGAATCCAATGTAGACCTCCATAATTAAAGTTTTTCCTGGACTTTTTCTCTCATCTTATCCACGAGAAGGATATCATCAGCAAAAAGCATACACCAAGGTATATCCACCTGTAAGTGTCCAGTAAGACCATCCATAACTAAAGCAAAAAGATATGGGCTTAAAGCCGATCCCTGATGTAATCCAATAGAAATAGGAAAAAATTTGGTCAATCCACCTTCAATTCGAACACAAGTAACAGCTCTAGTATACATATCTTTAATGACTTGAATATAAGTCATATCAACACATTTCTTTTCAAGAACTCTCTAAAGGATATCTCTTAAAGGATATCTCTTGGAACCTT